CGAGAAAGAGAAAACCCCAAACAGACTCCACACTGTCAGTACAGAGCTCAATGCAGGGCTCAAACTCATGAAATCATAACCTCAGCTGAATGAAGTTGGCCACTTAATCGACTGAGCCACGTAGGCACCTCCAGACCATTGATTTATAAAGAAAAGGCACAAGAGTCTTGAACTTTAAAAACCAACCTGTGAATTAAAGAGCTTGCCAATGTTGGGTGCAATCAAAGCTGTTATGAAGGAAATAGACAAGTTTTTGCTCTTCACAGTAACCATAGCTAATAACATTCCTAAGAGCTTACTATGGGCTAGTAAAATTATTGTATTAATACCTCACATGTATTAAATCATTTAATCCTTGCTCACTGTATCCATGGTATAAGGTGCTGTATTTATCAGCACTTTTCAGGTGAGAAAGCTGAGGCACAGAGAGATCAAGTAACTTGCCCCAAGTTGCATGGGTAGGCAGTGGTAGAGTTACGATTTGAAACCAGAGCTGGTGCCACAGCCCCAGCTCTGCATCACTACACTATGTTGCCTCTCAAGCTTTCTGCGTTCTTTATACTGCTTCTAGTGTTACAAATTATCACAGGGAACACCGGATAATGATCATAGGCTAAGGAAACAAATTGGTTGTCAATACACAGATTGGATTTTATTTTTTTTAAGTAATCTCTACAGTGAATGTGGGGCTCAAATTCACAACTCCAAGATCAAAAGTCACACACTCTAATGACTGAGCTAGCCTGGCACCCCAGTTGGTTGACCATCCGACTTCAGCTCAGGCCATGATCTTGCAGTTCCTGAGTTCGAGCCCGACGTGGGGCTCGAACTCATGAACCTTGAGATCATGACCGGAGCTGAAGTCGGACAGTCAACCAACTGAGCCACCCAGGCGCCCCCCAGAATGAACTTTAAAGGCATAATTTCATATGTATCTACTGGTGATCAGTTGGGTTAAAAACCCAACTTAGACACATTACAGTCAAACTACTAAAAAATAAAGGCCAAGAAAAAGTTCTTAAAGCAGCCAGAGAAAACGATGCATGACTTAGAGGAGAAAACTGTTTTGAATAACTGGATTTTTCATCCAAAAGACCAGAAGGAAGTGATACAACATTTTTAAGAAGCTGAAAGAAAAGTACTGTCAATGTAGAATCAGATATCCAATGACAGTATCCTTCAGGAATAAGGTGAAAAGATATTCAGAGATGACAGAAAACTAACAGCATTGCTGCCACCACATGTGCTCTACAAGACTGCTGATGGAAATTCTTTAGACTGAAGGGAAATGATACCAGAAAGAAACTTGGAAATTCAGAAATGAAAGAAGAGAAGTAGAAATGATAAATATCTGGGCAAACTAATAGACTATTCTTCTCCTCTTGAGTTAAGATATGTTTGACAACTACAAGCAAAAACTCTAACATTGCCCAATAAAGTTTTCAATATATAGAGATGTAATATACAAACAACTATAAAAAAAAAGAAGGGTGAAGGGATCCATATATGGTGGTAAGGTTTCCACATTCCACTTGAAGATGTAAAATATTGTTTCCAAGTAGATTGTTAAAAGTAAGGATGTATATGGTAATTCCTAGAGCAACCATTAAAAAACTACACCAGGAGGGGCATCTGGGTGGCTCAGTCAGTTAAGCGTCCGACTTCGTCTCAGGCCATGATCTCAGGGTTGGTGGGTTCGTCCCCTTGTGTCAGGCTCTTTACTGTCAGCTTAGAGCCTGGAGCTTGCTTCAGATTCCGTGTCTCCCTCTCTCTCTGCCCCTCCCCTGCTTGCGTTCTGTCTCTCAAAAAGGAAACATTAAAAAAAATTAATATAAAAAACTATACCAAGAGAGACAATTAAAATAAATACTGATATTTTTACTGCGTTAGATTTAGAACCCACAGAATAGGAAGTTTACCTTTGAGCAAATTTAGACACAGAAGGTAAAGCTAACTACCCAGAGTCTTGACTGAGTACTTGAAAAGAACAAGCAACAGTGTTTCTTGAAATTCAAATCACTCAGTGATCTTACTGAAATGCAGGCAGTATAGGTCAGGTGTAGGGCCCTAAATTGTGCGTGTCTAACAAGCTCCCAGGTGTTGCTGAACACTTGGAGTAGTAAGGAGCCAGCCAGCCACGTCACCACTCAAAGAGCTTTCTATTCCACCTGGAGATCCTATTATTTTTATTACTTGCATGTTTCAATCCTTAAACAAATGCCTATGCTCTTTATTATTCACATTTGTGGTAATAAATTCAATATGCATTCAATAAGAATATATTTTTTTTTTTTTCAACGTTTATTTATTTTTGGGACAGAGAGAGACAGAGCACGAATGGGGGAGGGGCAGAGAGAGAGGGAGACACAGAATAGGAAACAGGCTCCAGGCTCTGAGCCATCAGCCCAGAGCCTGACGCGGGGCTCGAACTCACAGACCGCGAGATTGTGACCTGGCTGAAGTCGGACGCTTAACCGACTGCGCCACCCAGGCACCCCTCAATAAGAATATTTTTAAGAATTCTCAAAATACAAAACTTGGTATCAAATGATTTGAGAAAAATAGGTTATATAACCCTGGCCTATAAGTATCTTTATAAAAATCAGACATGGGAGTTTTTGTTTGTTTTTTTTAAATAGATTTTTAAAATGCTGATTAGAAACTTGTAAATATTCTTTTTTTAAAAGTTTATTTTTCAGGGAGAGAGAGAGAGAGAGAGAGAGAGAGAGAGAGAGAGAGAGAGAGAATCCCAAGCAGGATCCGTGATGTCAGTGCAGGGTCTGGCGTGGGGCTTGAACTCAGGAACCCTGAGATCATGACCTGAGACAAAATCAAGTGGGATGCTTAACTGACTGAGCCCTGAAACTTATGAATATTCTTGATTACTACCTCAGTGGATCAACTTTACTGAATACAGACAGAAGGCAACATCACTTGTAGTGTTCAAATTGCAAATATTTGAACTTCAATCCAACCTGAATGAATATAAGGCGCATAATGCAATTTACCTGATATCCACGGACAAGGGTACTTTGTAATTCTTTTAAAATATATTGTAGGTAGTGCACACCCAGATCTTCTATTATTTTTGCTAGAGTGCTGCGTGCAATGTCTCTGATTTCCTGTGCTCTGTTCTTGAGGAGGGCACACACTTTCAGCAAAATACTAGAAAATGAAAAATTGAAAAGGACTAATCAAAAACCAGAAGCAAATAAAAATACAGACATCCTCTGGTCTCTTAATTATTCATTACCCAAGTTTCCCAATTAGGATTCTAAAAAAAAATTATTTTTAAGGCCAATTTATTTTTGAGAGACAGAGACATAGAGTGTGAGCAGGGGAGGGGCAGAGAGAGAGGAGACACAGAATCCAAAGCAGGCTCCAGGCTCCCAGCTGTCAGCAAAGAGCTGGACGTGGGGCCCAAACCCATGAACTGTGAGATCATGACCTGAGCTTAACCAACTGAGCCACCCAGGTGCCCCCCAATTAGGATTCTTTGTGAATTGTGACAATACGTCTCTTCCTCACAAAAAGAGACTCAAGAGTCAGGAAGAAAGAACCAAGTTTTGAGTTTCACTGAACATTTCTAATTTGTCATACAATATACCTCGGCAGGTTAGCTTCCATAACTTCTTGTGGAAGGGACTGCATTAGTTTAACCATGGCAAAAGCTAAAGGAACTCGAACTACTTCCTCATCATTCACAACCTTGGATTTTATGAGCTTGTGTTCTTCTTCCCTTTTAGTCTGTAAGAAAAATTTAGGTTAAACTAAAACAAAAATAAATGGATCGGGGACCTACCAACACTGAAATCTTGCATTTGAACGATAAGCTCTTTGATATGACACTTCTAAGTTTACGGTCTTAAAAAACAAACTAAATTATGCAATTTGAGAATAACTCTCAAAGAATTATAAAAATAATAGGAATAATAATGCTTTTTCCAAAGAAGAGCCCAAATATCCATCAACTGATGAATGGATAAAGAAGACGTGGTTTATATATACAATGGAATACTACTTGGCAATGAGAAAGAATGAAATCTTGCCATTTGCAACAATGTGGATGGAACTGGAGGGTATTATGCAAAGTGAAGTAAGTCAGTCAGAGGACAGATTTCATATGTTTTCACTCATATGTGGAATTTGAGAAACTTAACAGATGACCATGGGGGAAGGGAAGGGGAAAAAATAGTTTCAAGCAGAGAGGAGGCAAACATAAGAGACTCTTAAATAGAACAAACTGATGATTGATGGGGCAGCAGGGGAGAGGGGAAAATGGGTGATGGACATTAAGGAGGGCACCTGTTGGGATGAGCACTGGGTGTTTATGTAAGTGATGAATCACAGGAATCTACTCCCAAAGCCAAGAACATACTATATACACTGTATGTTAGTTAAGTTGACAATAAATTATATAAAAAAAATAAAAAGAGAGAATGTTTTTTCCCAAAGGAACAATCAGAAAAAAATAGTCAAGTTTTCACTGATGTGGATTAAGATTGCTGTGAAATATCTAAAAATCATAAAAAATTTGTATCAATCGGGATTTTCAAGAGTTTGAGTGACAGTGTTTGTACATAAGAAATATAGTGCCTCAAGTAACAAGTTATATTTACAAATATACAAAATGACCAAGTCAATATTTTACACCAGGGGCTGGCAAACTTCTGTAGAGGGCCAGATAGTATTTTTGGCTTAAGATCTCTGTTGAAGCTACTCAACTATGCAGTGGTAACCCAAAAGCAGAATTAGACAATATGCAAACCGATAAATGTAACCGTGTTCCAAAAAAACTTTACTTACAACAGGCTGCAGGATAGATCCAGCCCATGGACTACAGTTTGCCAACCCCTGTTTTACCCTGAGAAAGAAAGGCTCTGACTTCATGAGAATCCACTGCTAAATGTTATTCCTATTACCCAGGAAGAAGATGAATTCTGAACAGCAGAGAAGTGGCCAAGAAGTAGAAAAGGGAAACATATTCTAATTTTTTAAAACTCTTTTTTTTTTTTTTTGAAATGAGAATTATGTAATTATCTGCTTTGGAGATATCTACCAGATGAAAATCATAATGAAGAAAAATTGCTGCTTTGCTGCAGCAGAAGATGAACCTAAAGATGATGAGACAAAACTAGGGAGGTGAATTCTGAAATGTTGAGATGAAAGAAAACCCAAAAGCTGAAGTCAATCAATAATAGTCAGGAGCCTCAGGTTGACAGAGTGCCACAAACACTTGGGTTCACACAGACAGAATGGGCCCCATTCTGTTGGGCCCCAACCAGAATGATTACCGTAGAGGCCAGGCATTTATGTAGCCTGGGTAGGATATCCCCAGTTATGGTTCCTTGGATATTTTTAATTGTTCTCTCCAATTCTTCCTTATTCCGAGGAAGGAAAGAGATGGACCCAGTGACACACTCAGGTTCTTTAGCTGATGCCCCTTGACATTCAGCTGGATCGGGGTTTCCCGGTTCTTTGTTGTTGTCTGACAAATTCTTACATTTGTTTTCCTTCTCTTCCTCATCCATATGCTCTAATTCCATGGTTTCATGCTCTGGCAACTCAATCACTTCTACTGTGTCTATGTTTAGTAAACAACAAAAGTCACCTTAAATCAAATAAGGAAACAACACAGTTGTGTTACAAGTCTTTCCCACCAACATCCAATAAAAACGATCTAGTCTCCAACTACAGATAGGTAAGATAAAGTACTAAAGGAAGCAGCACTATATGAGAGGGTTATGATTTTTTGCTGTCTTACAGTTTGGAGTCTAATGTGGAACAGAGACAAGTAAATGGACAGTTATGAGTGTGGGAGAGCAAGTGCAGGCTATGTTGGGAATACACTTGGAGACTAGGTGGGGAGGAGGGTCTTAACCAAAAGAAAGCTTCCAAAGTATTGTGGTTGGAGGTTTCCAAAAACAAAAACCTATACTCATGAGCATGAAAACTATAATGTAGCCAACAGTTCTCATGCAGAAATGTCCCTTACTATAGGGCTCAGTTCATTAAAGAAAATTAGGCAGTGTTGTACTGGGGCAAGTCCAGGCATGGCTCTGCTAACAAGCCATATGACCAAAGTTAGTTAACCTAAGCCTAGTGGGCTTTGTATTCTTTATCAGTAAGATGGAGATGGCACCACTTGCAAGGCTGTTGTGACGATTCAATGAGATCAAGTCTATAATCACCCAAATAAACATTTCTGATACGTCACAGACTTTCAAAAAAATGGTAGCCATTAGTCTTTATTTTATTTCCTGGCTGTGTAGCTTTGGGAAAGTTACTTTACATTTCTGAACTGTAATTTCTCATATCAAAAAATAATGGTGTAACTAACAACTAGGTTCTTGTAAGGTTTTTATGAGAACAAAGGAGATAATGTCTCGAAAGGCCCAGCTCATAGTACTCAATAAATGTTTTAAACTTTAGTCATATCTAAGAAAATAGACAGTTAAGCAGATTATTTTAATTTTTAATGTTTTTATTGATGCAAAATTGCAAAATGCAGATTCAACTGCCTGAAGATAAACCGTTGAGAGACTTTAGTTTGATCAATGGTTTTAATTAATGGTTTAAAACACAAATGTTCCTACAAATTCAAGCCAGTCTTTGCTATTTATTAGTGTGGCTCTGTAATGATTTTACTGTGAATCAAAGAATTAGAAATTCTTGAGTAGGAAGGAATGCTGAAGTAGTGCAAACTAAGTGCCAAAATATTTCAATGTCTTTTAGCAAAAACAGCCTATTGGCCTATTTAAGTGTTCATCCTCTAACAGGTTAAGGAAATTTCTATTTGTTCCTTATTTGATATCATGAATAAATACTAAATCTAACCAAATGTTTCCCTTGTGCCTCTTTAGAGGACCACATGTTTTTTGCATGCTAATGTTAAATTCCATTAACCAATTATACCAACTTCATGAGTTAGTGGAAGCTTCCATTTTATTAATCAACTGAAATAGCTGATGTAAGGTTGAAATTACCCATTCCTTCAATATTTGTATAACTAGCCTATAAAGCAATGTGAACCTGGTATTTTCATCAGGAGAAGTTTATAACTACAGAGTCAATTTTTTAGTAGAGATATACCCAGATTTTCTATTTCTTTTAAAGCCAGCTTTTGTATTTTATTTTTCTAAGAGTTTGTACATCTCACTCAAGTATTCAAATTTTTAAGTTCAAAGATCATAATATTATTTTACCTTTTTAATTTGATTGGGACCTTTAAAAATTCTTAATGTTTATTATGCCTATGCCTTCTATTTTTACTGATCAATCTTGACAGAGGTTTGCCAATTTATAATCTTTTCATATACCTATTTTTAGCTTTGATGATCCTTTCTTATTGTATCTACTTTGTCTTACTAATTGTTGCTCTAATTTTTAATTCTTTTCTTATACTATCTTTGCATTCATTGCTTACTGTTCTTTCTATACATGCAGGTGGTAAAATTGGATTTCTATATAAATAATTTAAGCTCAGATTTTTTTTTACCCATATAATTTAGACTGGCCTTCTCTATTGTTAAAAAAAAGATTTTATACAAATACTCAAACCATTTGCTTTAACTTCCTCCTGACTCATTCACTGGTCACTGCTCTAAGTAGAAAAAGGTGATAAGTTGAATTTTGCCATCTTTAATTCATTAACATCAATTATCCAAGAATAGAGTGGAAATCTAGTTTAAGAAAGTTTTAAAAACTTACTTTCTTCATTCTGAATTTTTCTCATTTGTTCTTCAAGAGTTTTGTGGTCGAAGTGGAATGCTTCTAACACTATTACTAGCAAACTGTTGAAAAAAGAAGGTACACAGAAATGTCTGATTCATAACATCATTTGATGATTAAAGTGAAGGATTTAAAGACTTATCAACAGTAAAATTATTTTTACCAGTTTTAGGTATATTTGAATTCAACAAATATTAGCATAACCTCATTAATACAAGGTAAAAGCAAACTAAGATTAGAGAGACCACTTCAGGAAATAATCCAAAATTTACATTTTAAAAACAAAGCAAAAACAAGCTTGACCATACATACCTGACACCCAACTTTTGATTGATCTGTCCTGTCTGTAAGACATGAATGAAATGTTTCAAGTAATATATATATGCTGACCAAGAGAGATGTTTGCAAATAGCTCCAATAACTTCTGTGGCAGCAATGGTTATATTTTCATGCTGTAAAACAAATCAAGAGCATCAACACAGAATTAGTATTTGCTAATAAAATAAAGAGTTAACTTCGTACACTAAAAAGCTTAGACGGGGCGCCTGGGTGGCTCAGTCGGTTAAGCATCTGACTTCGGCTCAGGTCATGATCTCACGGTTCGTGAGTTCGAGCCCCACGTTGGGTTCTGTGCTGACAGCTCAGAGCCTGGAGCCTGTTTCAGATTCTGTGTCTCCCTCTCTCTCTCTGACCCTCCCCCATTCATGCTCTGTCTCTCTCTGTCTCAAAAGTAAATAAACGTTAAAAAAAAAATAAAAAAAAATAAATAAATAAAAAGCTTAGACAGTAGGTGATTAGCAATTATAGAAGGGAAAGAATGCCCAAACCATATCCCACTCCCCCTAACAGCTCTAGGAAAAGACACTGTCAATTAAAGAAATGACACCATCTTTAATTAAAGGATATTAATCAGTTCATACTTTGTACTTTTTTCCACTCAGACCTCCCTGATGGGTTAAAGCCTATAGACAGTGAATGAAGTAAATTCAGTGTGTAAAGTTAAACACTAAAGTTAACTTTAATGTACAGCTCAGCATTCAACAGTACAGATGCCTTGGAGACATCTCTTTCAGGCCACCATAAAGAACAGGGACTGGTTTTACCCTGATACCTTAAACTAGAAAAATAGACAAAAATATATGAAATAGCAGTTTTCAGACTTTGGACATTGAACAGTGCAGTACAGTGCTAGCTGAGAGAAAGGCAACAAATGAAATGTGTCTTATAATTATCCTAATTTCACTGTGTGAAGAGAACTGTCAGGTCATAGCAGAGGAGAAACCCAAAAAGGGCCCAGTCGTCTCCCTGAGGTAAGGAGGCAGAGAGAAGGCTGTGGCAGCCAGAGTCCAAAGCATAGAGAGGAGAGAGCTACACAGAGAAGAAAGCTGCAGAAAATACCTCTCATGACAAGAAAAATCAACCAGTAGAAACAGACCCCAAAGTGACACAGACAATAAACTTACAGTAGACAAAGAAAGACAAATGATGAAATTACATTCCATAAGATCAAGAAGGGAAAGGAAAGCAGAAGCATGTTAAGGAGAGGTAAGATATAAAATTATAAGGCCCAAGCCAAAAATCCAGAAATAGAAAAGACAGTTCTGGAAGGAAAGACACACTGGATAGGATTCAAATCAGATTAGACTCTGAAGAAGAAAAGATTAGTGAACTTGAAGACACAGCGATACAAAATTGAAACAAAAATGAAACAAGATGAAACCCTGGGTGGAGGGGGGGAAACTAATGAAAAAAAAAAAAAAAAAAAGAGCTTCAGTGAGTTTGGGGCAATTCTGAGTGGCCTAATACACACTGGAGTCTCCAAAGGCAAGAAGGGGACCCAAAAGTATCTTTGAAGAAATAATGGCAAAAAATTCCAAGTTTGAAGAACACTACAAATCAGTAGATCCAAAAAGCTCAACAAACCCCAAGCACAAGAAATATGAAGGAAACTACACTAAGGTACAGCATAATCAACTAGCTTAAAACCAGTGATATAGAGAAAATTTTCAAGGCAGCCCCTAAAAATAGATATATTACACTCAGAGGAAGAAAGATAAGAATGACTTCCTGTTGGAAATGATATAAATCAGAATACAATAGAGCAATTATCTTTAAAGAATAGAAAGAAAAAAAACCCTGTCAATCTAGAATTCCACAACTTCCAGAAACATCATCTTTCAAAAGCAAAGATGAGAAAAGACATAAAAACTGAAAGAATTCATCACCAGTAGACCTTTACTACAAAAACTTTAAAGGAGGTCTTCCTGTCAGGAATAAAATGATATAGCAGTATATCTGGATCTACCCAAAGGAATAACTGGAAAATTATAAGTAATTGGAAGTAACGAGAAATTATAAATATGTAAGGAAATATAAAAGATCCTTCCTTATTTTGAAAGATCACTTTAAAAGATAATTGACTGTTTAAGGCAAAAATAACAATATATGTTTAAAACTTATGTATAGGTAGGGGCACCTGGGTGGCTCAGTCAGTTGAGTGTCTGACTCTTGGTTTCAGCTCAGGTCATGATCTCATGGTTCATGGGATTGAGCCCTGCCTGAGTCAGGCTCCATGATGACTGCACAGAGCCTGCTTGGGATTCTCTCTCTCCCTCTTTCTCTGCTCCTCCCCTAGTTGTGCATGCTCTTGGACACATGCACTCTATTTCTCTATCAAAATACATAAACTGAAAAAAAAAAAAAAAAAAAAAAAAAAGACACCAGAACTAATGTAGAGGTAAAACCTATAAAAAGAGCTCAATGATAACTAATAAGCCAACAGAGATAAAATAAAATCGCTTAAAACATCCAATTAATCCGGGGCGCCTGGGTGGCGCAGTCGGTTAAGCGTCCGACTTCAGCCAGGTCACAATCTCGCGGTCCGTGAGTTCGAGCCCCGCGTCAGGCTCTGGGCTGATGGCTCGGAGCCTGGAGCCTGTTTCCGATTCTGTGTCTCCCTCTCTCTCTGCCCCTCCCCCGTTCATGCTCTGTCTCTCTCTGTCCCAAAAATAAATAAACATTGAAAAAAAAAAAATCCAATTAATCCAATACAAGGGAAAAAAGAGAGGGACAAATGGAATATAAATAACATCAAAGATATAAATCCAACCATATTAATAATCATATTAAATGTAAATGGTCTAAAAAACGATTTTTTTTTTTGAGAGAAAGCATGAACAGGGGAGGGGCAGAGGAAGAAGAGAGAGAGAACCCCAAGCAGGCTTCATACTGTCAGTGTGGAGCCTGATGCAGAGCTTGATCTCACCACTGTGAGATCATAACTGGAGACAAAAATCAAGAGTCGGATGCTTAACTGCACCATCTAGATGCCCCTGTCTAAAACCTATTAAAAGGCAGAGATTGTCAGGTTTGATAAAACTGCCAAGACCCAGTTATATGTTATCTACCAGAAACCAACTGTAAATACAAAATCACAAATATGTTTAAAAAAAAAAAAATAGAACACTAAAAAGATATACCATATTGCGGTGCCTGGGTGGCTCAGCTGGTTAAGCATCTGACTTTTGATTTCAGCTCAGGTCATGAGCTCATGGTTCATGGGACTGAACCCCCCATCCGGCTCTGCAGTAACACTGTGGAAACTGTCTCTCCCTCTCTCTCTGCCCCTCCCCCACTCATGAGCAGTCTCTCCCTTAACATAAACGTTTAAAGAGATATGTTAACATCAACCAAAACTAAATATAATTTATTTTTTTCATCTACACCTCTTTCCTATTTTACTGCCATCAAACTATAAATTGGTTGTGCTTACTGGCTCTTCAAGCCAGAATTTAGGGGGAGTATTCTTTTATTTACGTACGTAATTCTTTTCTTTTCTTTTTTTTTAATGTTTATTCATCTTTGAATGGTCGGGGGGAGGGACAGAGAGAGAGGGGGAGACACAGAATCTGAAGCAGGCTTCAGGCTCTGAGCCATCAGAACGGAGCCTAATGTGGGGCTCAAACCCACAAACCATGAGATCATGACCTGAGCTGAAGTCAGACGCTTAACCAACTGAGCCACCCAGGCGCCCCTATGTAGGTAATTCTTTAAAAAAATTTTGAAACAATAGGGGAAACCTAAACTTGCACAAGACCATGTGATCAACACAGAATAAGTTCGACCAACAGCTCCTGATATCGCCTCAAACTGGACTTAAATTTCACTCTTTCATTAATCTGATCAATAAATATCATTTACCAGGGTCTTACAATGTGCCAGGCACTGTTTTTTTGGCACTGTGTAGTCTAACAGTGAAGACAGGCCTAAGTTCAAATACTGATTCTCATTCTGTATGTCTTTGAGAAAGATAAATACCTCACATATTCCGAGTTTACTTTCCTGTAATATACTGACAACAATCCCCCCCATTGGGCTGAGCTGTGGTGAGGATGAAGTAAGACTATGTAAAGTACTTAAAATAGCTCCTGTAGCTGGTATAGTGTTAAAGAAAAGGTAGCTATTGTGTGACTTCATTTCTTGTAAGACATTTGGGAAAATACTGATTATTAAGGGTATTTATCAGAATTAAATCCTATGATACAAAAATAAAAGTATGCTATGTTAGTAATGTGATCATTTCTAAGAGGGGAAATATTTTGTGGCTGGCCTTTGCGAGCTAATAATAATGAAAATAAAAATAATGCCTACCATTTATAGAACATTTACCGTGTGCCAAGTACCATTCTAAGGGCTTCAGAACTATTCTAAGCCTCTAATTATGGTGACAACATCAACATGGATGCCACCAACCCCATATGCATTTTGGAAAAGTGTGTCATGGTATGGGTAGAGGTTTAATGGTTTCTTTTCTTTTTTTTAATGTTTATTTTGAGAGAGAGAGAGAGCGAGCGAGGAGAGGAGGGGCAGAGACAGGGAGACACAGAATCTGAAGCAGGCTCCAGACTCTGAGCTGTCAGCACAGAGCCCAATGCAGGGCTCAAAGTCACAAACCATGAGACCATGACCTGAACCAAAGTTGGATGATGCCTAACCGACTGAGCCACCCAGGTGCCCTGAGGTTTAATGTTTTCTAAATCTAATGTCCTACCTTGAGCATTTTCTCATCAAAAATTGGAGTCATGGCATAAGGCATGATGTAATTCTGGAGAGATTTAGAAGATAGCATAACTTTGCCTTCCATTAGCTGTTTTGCCAGTTTCTTCAAGGCTCTTGCTCTTCTGTGGATCTATGCGTTAGATAAAATAAGAATTAGTTACTGAATTAACTCACCTATAACCAGCTCCATTTCTGCATCATTTCTTTTTGAAGTTTATTTATTTATTTTGAGAGAGACAGAGACAGTGCGAGTGGGGGCAGGACAGAGAGAGAATCCTAGGCAGGCTTCATGCTGCCAGCACTGAGCCTGACGTGGGGCTCAAACCCACGAAACTGTGAGATCATGACCTGAGCCAAAACCACAAGTTGGATGCTCAACTGACTGAGTCACCCAGGTGCCCCAGTATCATGTTCCTTTTGCATGAAGAGATTAAAGCAGTGAAGGGCAGTCCATGTGTTACATGAGCAACACCTATGCCTTGATTTGCTTCCAGAGATATAATCCGCAGCATTTGTTTAACAATGGATCCTAAAGCAGTTAAACTTCTTAGCAAATGGCAGAGAAAGGTGACACTGTAATTGTGGTTTATGATACCATGAAAGAAAACAGACCCCAGGAAAATGATCATTTCCTGTGCTAATTTCATTGACGATCAAGAAGACCAAGAAATCAGAGGCTCAAAACTTTTTGGAAAATTAAAATATATCTTTTTAAATGAGACAGAACAGTTTGAAATACTTGTAGGCAGGGAAAAAAAGAACTGAACAGAACTGTCTTCTACCTGAATGTGTTTCATATTCTCAAAGAAGTCCATTTCTGGATCATGGCAATCAGTAAGCTGTACCAACTCTTTAAATTCTGGTTGATTTGGAAAAGTTTGAATTAAACAGGAAAGCACTGTGGTATAATCCTGTTGAATATTCTGCAAATGCCAAATTGAGGGGAAAAAAAAATTTTAAAGAGTTTGTTTTCTAGAGGATACAAAGAAACACACAACAAAGCCATTACAATTTTTTTTTCTTTTTTTTAAAGTAAAATATTCCCACTATAAACACAAACTGAAATCAGAAGTGATTGCTCTCCTTTCTATTCTCATTCTCCTGTTAAAAGTTTGGTATTTATGCAATCAAGTATTTTAATTAAATGTACTTATAAGACTGACTGCTTTTCAACAACAGTATAAGTAGGGAAAAACAAAACCAATACCAAAACTCACAGACAGTAGTATGTAAAAGACAAAAATACAATCGCAAACCCCAATACCTCTGTCTGGCTCTTCAATCCTTTCCTCAATTTCTCCAGGAGTGAACGATGAATGATTTCCCTGTATTCTTTCTCTGTGACGTTCAAGGCAGCTACCTTCTTGATGATACTCATCAGGCATATGCTGGCATTATCACTTAAAGACATGTCTCCTAACTGGAAACAGGAAAAAAGAAAAAAACCCAAATTATTCTGTGTAATATCTGTAATATGGAATATTATTTCCCAATGAAAGAGTTTACCCCTCAGTGAAAATGTTGCCACTCGTCTATGTAAAAATCATAAGGAAGAACCAAATGTAGGGTTGTGAGGAACATACAGGCATACCTCAGAGATACTGTGAGTCTGGTTCCAGACAACCACAGCAAAGTGAAAATCACAATAAAGTAGGTGACATGAACATTAATGTTTCCCAGTGCATATAAAAGTTACGGGGGCGCCTGGGTGGCGCAGTCAGTTAAACGTCCGACTTCAGCCAGGTCACAATCTTGCGGTCCATGAGTTCGAGCCCCGCGTCGGGCTCTGGGCTGATGGCTCAGAGCCTGGAGCCTGTTTCCGATTCTGTGTCTCCCTCTCTCTCTGCCCCTCCCCCGTTCATGCTCTGTCTCTCTCTGTCCCCAAAAAATAAATAAACGTTGAAAAAAAAGTTACGTTTACACTATGCTATGGTCTATTAAGTGTGCACTAGCATTATGTCTAAAAAAACAAGGTACATACCTTCATTAAAAAATATTTACCAGGATCTGTATTTCAGAGAGTCAGAATCACTGATCACAGATCACCATGACAAACATAATAATAATGAAAAAGTTTGAAATATTGTGAGAATTAGCAAATGTGACACAAAGACACAAAGTAAGCAAATGCTTATTGGAAAAATCGTGCTGACAGACTTGTTTGAAGCAGAGTTGCCACAAACCTTCAATTTGTAAAAAACAGTATCTGCAAAGCATGATAAAATGGGCGTGCCTGTAGTATATAACTTTAAAAAATCATGCTTACTGAGAAGTGTCACTCCCATTTGGAAAATATGATGAAATAGAGTTTTTGATTTGTTTTAATTCTGAAAACAAGCAAAATAAGCAGTTTTCAATATCCAGTGTCACATGATCACTGAGAATGACAAAGTTGGCTGGTATAATCCTGGTTAGTTGTGCTCCAGTTCCTGCTTCGAGCAATGTAGGCAGTGAATGTGGAGAAACTATTTCCAACTCAGCCAACCAAGCAGTGATTTGGAATCCTTTGTGTTGGAACTTGACATAATATATGAAGAATTATCTCCAGAGAGATTACTTTTTCATATATTACATAATTGTTGATACCTGATGAATAACTATAAAATGCCACAAAGATATTACTGATTACACGGTCAACTATAAATCGAGGGTTCCGTTTTCCCCATTTTGGGGCTTGAATTCAATTCAGCAACATGGCACTTAATTATAGTCCAAACCCTTTATAGTTCTATATCAATAAAGGAGGGCAGACTGTCAAATAATGACAGTAGTTACAAAACTTCAAAAAACTGAGATATAATTGAAATACTATAAAATTCACTTTTTAAAAAAAATGTCTATTTATTTTGAGAGAGAGAGAGAGTGTGAGCAGAGGAGGGACAGAGAGAGACACACACAGAGTCCGAAGCAGGTTCCAGGCTCTGAGCTGTTAGTACAGAGCACGATGCGGGGCTCAAACTCACAAACTGAGAGATCATGACCTAAGCTGAAGTCAGATGCTCAACCAACTGAGCCACCCAGGTACCCCTAAAGTTCACCCTTAAAAAAAAATTATTTTAATGTTTATTTTTGAGAGACAGAATATGAGTGGGGGAGGGGCAGAGAGAGAGGGAGACACAGAATCTGAAGCAGGCTCCAGGCTCCGAGCCGTCAGCACAGAGCCCGACAGTGGGGCTTGAACTCACAGACCGTGAGATCATGACACGAGCCGAAGTCAGATGCTTAAACGACTGAGCCACCCAGGCACCTCTAAAATTCGCCCTTTTGTACACTTTAAAAAAGTGTACAATTTAATGGTTTTCAGTATAAAGTCTTTTTGCAAATATATTCACAAGGTTGTTTCAACCATCACCACTATCTACCTTCAGAACATTTTTATTACTCTCAAAATAAACCCTGTGCCAATCTGAAGTCCTCCCTCTCCGTTCCCATTCCTCCCTCCCTCGGAAGCCCTTCGTAACCTAGCCACTAATTTACTTTCTGTCTTTATGAATTTCCCTATTCTAATACACAGCTTTTGGATTTTTCAAAGTGTTTCCACATATATTATTTTATTCAAAGTACTTATCTTTTAAATCATGAGAATAACAATATGGTCTTCACCATATTGCAAAATATTGTGCAACTAAAAGAAATTTTACACAAAAGTCTTTGTCCTGCTCAAAACACAAATTAAGGAATTTGGTCATGCAGTTGTATTATCAAAACAATGAAAACCAATTCATAAACTTTTGCTATAAAAACCTACCTCCAGATTATAGAAACAATTATGCATGACTAGAATTAAGTAGTTAACATCCACAGTTTGCATCTCTTTAATACAAGAGGCGATTGTCTGGAATGCTGAGAAGCGAACATCAAAGTTGATATCATCAAGATGTCTTTGATCAAAGGCGTTAAGCTACAAGAAATGAAAACATTGAAACGTTGAAAACATAGGTGAAAGTACAAAAACCTTAAATAAACAAAAACGATAATACTTTTGAAGCAAAAGAGAAGACTTTCTCTCTTACCTTGACAACATCAGTAATGTATTTTAATCCACTCTCAAAATCAGAAAGAGTCTAAATGGAATGAAAAAAGTATGTTATTGCTGAATAAAATCTTAATTTTCCTGCCCTCCTCCCTTTAACTCCCTCCTTCCACTCAAATTTATATGAAACATCATACTGGCACCAAGAAAGCTGTTAATATGTGTTACATGTCATAGTTATCTTTTTAAAAAGGGGTGGGTGGTTTGGGGTAAAAATTAGTATTACACACCTGGAAAACTGTACAAAGCAACTGTCTTGACAATTTATTCTTAATAACTGAGAAGAGTTTTGCTAGAGGCTTGAGGAAGCTTGTAGGCTCCAGACAATGTTTTAAAAGGTTTTGTACTGTCACCAAAATATCAACCTCTGTATCCTTAAGAAGAAAGAGAAATCACATTTTGGTAATTTATAAAACTGATCAACTTGGCTTTAATATATTTCAGTCCAGAAAACATACAATTATGAATAAGAAGTGAAAGTAGTAATTGGAAAAGTTATTTCACAGTCTTTTAAAAGTTCTTAGCATTTTAACTTAACATAAAATCCACAACAACGCCCATGAACAGTTTCTTCCTTAATTCTAATAGAAAACACATATGGCTTTGGGACAGAATTTCCTCTACTGAGTCCAAAAAGAGCCAAGAAAAATGAGCTTGCTGAAAAAAAATACACATTTCTGGTTGTCTACAGATCTGTGGTTTTCCACACTGAATTACTATGCGGTAAGAGATGTTCAGTGTAATGGCTTCGGCCTCATACCTGAGTTTGAGCATGGGAAGACTCTTTAACTTAGGATTGAACTAAGGTTTGAAAATCATATCAGAAAATTCTTAGCTATGCCTAATATTATTATAGTCTGACTTTTCATTCAGTCCTGCAACTGTGATCTATATTTAAGATTATACGATGTACTGGGGCGCCTAGGTGGCTCAGTTGGTTGAGTGACCAACTTCGGCTCAGGTCATGATATCACGGGTTGTGAGTTCAAGCCCCACATCGGGCTCTGTGTTGACAGCTCGGAGCCTGGAGCCTGCTTCTGATTCTCTCTCTCCCTCTCTCTCTGCCCCTCCCCCACTCATGCTCTGTCTCTGTCTCAGAAATAAACACTAAAAAAAAAAAAAATTAAAAAAAAAAAGATTATATGATGTACTTTTTGGGTTCCAGATTCATTACTGGTCAAAGTCAGGGGAAAAAAAAAAAAAAAAAAGCCTTGAAATGGATTAGAAGCTAAAAAAAGGAAAATGAAGGGATTAATAACACTTTTTTTGTTATGACTGATGATGGCGTTTTCCACCTTCTTGTGCACCCTCATTCCTACTTCCATTCCAGTTTTTCTCCTCTATTTTTATTTTTGTATTTCTATATAAAGTCTCTTCACAAATACATCACAAAATCTAACCAAGGAAATTACTGCTCACAAATAAATCTAATAATAAAGTGTTGCTTCAGAGACAAAATAAAATCCTATGAATCTGTACCTGAGCAATATTGCCACGGTGGAGGAAAGGGAGGAGAAGTGTAATGAGCAGAGAACTTTGTTCTTTGTCTTTCATGAACTTGCTGATCCTAGAGATGGGGAAAAAAATGGATATATAAGGAAGATCAACAATTTGAGAGTACTTCTCTAAGAAGCTCAACTTTTTGTAGAAAAACGTGACAGACACAGGTGGCTTTTATGTGTTCATCTATAAAAAAGTTCAGGTGACTTATTTAGCAGTGTCTGCTCACTTCTCTCCAACTTCAGGCACCTTGCTACTATTCTATTTCTCTTGTAGCATCTGATTGTGTAGATGATATCATGATCTGACAATCAGTAATTTCTTATTTTACAAAGAAATAACATTCTAAGTGCCAAGACTTGTAGAAGGCTTTCTGTATAATTTTCACTTTAATTCCCAAAATAGCCTTCAATGTAGGAATTATTTTTAGTTCCATTTTGCCCAAAGAAAATGGGAGACTCAGAGAAACTGGTGTCATATCGCTAAGAAATGGTAGAGCAGGGCTTTCAAACCCGGGTCTTTCTGGTGCCTGATCTCTCTTCACCTTTTCACCACCACACAGCCTGTGATAAAATTCAATGAGTGTATTTTGTGTGGATTCCCATTCTGCAAAACTTAGAAGTACAACAGTATAAATAAAACATTTCAAAGAAGTTCCTCAACGATTCTCTAATATATCATTTTTTGCTGTTGCTGAGGTTAACAGAAAAAATAAACTTTTCACAGCTAAGGCCTGGAACAATTTAGAGTTTAAAATAGAAACATTTTTTGTGCTCTGGTTTACTAACCTTGCTATAGAAATCACAATTACATATTATTAGGTCTACTGACAAAAAGAATCTTTAAAAATCCTTGCAAGATCTTCTTGACCCTTAGAAAACAAACAGAGCAACCACAGCCTGCTCTTTTAAGTTAATTATTTTTATCAATGAAACTTAAAAAAAAAAAAGTATGTGATTCATGTAACTCAAAATTTTTTTTCAAAATTCTAGTTGAACAAAATATGCAAAGGCTAAACAAGCAAATCTATTAGTCTACTTTAGAATTTTGAAGACTGTTTTCTTATAATAAAATGAAGGCAGATGCTTTACATAAAAGTTTTTTAATAAATATTCCAGAAAAGAAAAAGAGTTCCACATTAACTTAAAAATGGAGAGCATTTAAAATACTGAAAACCTTTTCAGCTTATTATCACATTTAAATAACTGAAAAACTGGACATAATTTAGCAGAAATTAAAACCACGGAGAGTAATGTTACCTTTTAAGGACGTATATATATCACTTACTTTGACAGAATGCCAAGTTCCTTACTGACTTGTGCTCTGTTCTTTTTCTTTTTCACCTTTTCTGCACTTATTGTGGTTTTGCTGAGATACTGGAGAATTGCAGGTACATGAGGTAGAATTAATCTTGCTCCCATTGTGATAGACTCTGAAAAAAAGTGATGTTTTGATTTTAATAAATTATTCTCTTAAAGGATAATCGTACACTATCCTCATAATGACAGACAAGGAAACCACTCAATTATCATAAACATTTAATAAATTTCAAATTTATAGATGAAATAACTTTCTTCTTAGTCATAATAGCTGTATCATTAGCTAAATTTAAGTTTATATAAGAGACCCCTGAGGCTTTATCTAATTAACCCATTTTGGGAAGTAGTAAAAGAACTGTTCGTACAATATGATAGGAAGAATTCAGAAACAGGACAGTGGAAGTCATCTGATAATTTCCTGGTGGGCAGTTGAGCTTTCTGGAGCATAAATAATCTGAATTGCTATGACTGCAAAGAAAATTCAGTTTATGTAAGTTGGTATTAATTTCTACAGAAAAGAAACTCTTTTAATAATGTAAGTAATTAAAAGAGCCAAATTGTATGGACTTTTTCCTTTGTGAGGGCACAATGCTAGCTTTGCTTTGTACAGCACACGTACCATCTGTCCTTTCGGTGTATTCGCATCCAGTCACTGGCAAGCTCGAAAGTGTTTCTGTGGGTTCAAAATCCGGAAGGTTAAGAAGGTCATCAGCTATATCCATCACAATAGAGGCTGTGGCTTCAGAGAGATTCTTCGCTGACAGAATTGCAAAGACGTTGGTCAGGATATCACACTCAGGGTGCCCAGGTTTCTGTTTAGCCAGTAAAGGGAAATACCTGCAAGGAGAAACCTTGAAATAGTCATCTTATTTCTCAATGTTTATTTATGAAAACATGTTCTATATGAATTTTCATATTGAGTTTAAATACATATGTGAAGGAACATTAGTAAGATTACTCAAAAGGGAAATCATTTTAAAATCTATAATATGATGGGTAATGGGAGGCACCTCACCAACATTACATTAGACAATTTATCTACATCTCTCGTTTGTTTAATCCTCATAACATCTCTAACACGGTCCCCACATTACAGGTAAAAAACAAAAACAAACAAAAAAAACCCCGAGACTTGTCTAAAGCCACTATGCTTAGTGGTGTAGAGCTGAGATCTGAACCACAGTCTAACTCCAAAGTCTAAGCCTTTTCTACAAGAAATGTATTGAAGACAAGCTATTTTTCAATTAAAAGCCTTCTAGAGTGTGAATGTTTATAAAACCTAAAAACTAACATACTACAGCATGGAAATTAAGAGTACAGACCAAACAAGAATTTGCTATATCGGGATATGCAACATTTAGAGATTAGGAACATTTTCGGGTGGAGGTGGATGAATCCATCCCCAATTATGAAACCTCGCACAAAGGATAAGAGCATCCCATCTAGAGGAAACACACCAACAAGGGTAGAGAACACAAAGGCTTTCCAGCCAATGGCAAACCAGAAATTGTTTTACATCAGGGATGTAGTCCTAACAATCAGCAGGAAGGTAAAACCAAAAATATGCAGACAGTTTGGTTTTACCAATTAATCATCATTGGAAGAAGAGCTCAAGCACTTTTAATGTACTTAGTACTAACAAACTGAAGAAAGGCTCTAAGAGGCTGTATCCATACAACTTTGTCTAATAGATACTAGGCATAGTATGTGCAGGAACCAAGCAGAATACTTTACACATTATCACCTCTATTATCCACGAGGTAGGTACTGTTATTATTTCCATTCTATAGATGGTGACACTGTGGCTCAGAGAGGCCAACTCTGTCAAAGAACACACAGTCGTGCTAGGATCTGAAGCTAGGTCTGTGTGGTTTTGGAGACTGTTCTGTTGACCACTACTCTATGATGTCTTAACATTTTTTTTTAAGCACAAAAGGTGAAAAAACTGCTTTCAATTGCTGGCAAGGTCTTCGCAAGAACCCATTCAAATCCAAAACAACTTGTAAATGACCAAACTGTGTTTCTTGAACGGCAATGTAACAGTGTACTGGGCATGCTCCATGCTTAAGTATAGGGCTCTGTCAGAAATTTCAGCCACTCTTTCAGTATGGAATGAGTATCGACGAACCATGGATCATGAGGGGTAGTAACAATAATAATGTGACATGTTCTCTACCGTCAGGGAGCTTTAAGTAGGTCAGCTATTAAGAGAGGAGGGTAAAAAAAGGCAGCATGTGATCACAGGCCCAGGAGAGGAAAGCTCAGAGGAGGAAGAGATGGAGTCACGTGGGGTTCATGGCGGTCAGAACCTGAGCAGCTATTAGCGAGGGTGGCCAGGGACAGTCCCAGTTTATTTTGGTTGTTTTGGCTTAATTATTTATAGCATCTCTCGTCACCCTCAGGAATATGGTTGGGCTTATATGACCTCTCTAGTTAATGAGTAAGTTTCTGTTGTTTCGAGTTCACTTAATTTCTGAGACAATTTAACCTTAATTGTAAGCTTAAAGATACCGGCTATAGTTCAGCTCTACCTGTATCTGTCCAAACACAAAGCAAAATAAAATGCTGGACTTCTCTGCAGATGAAAACCTGCTTAAATGTCTAACTGACACTATGTAAACTGTAACCACACTTTGAAATAATTTTTAACTGAAAAGTAACATTTCTATCAGCTGGTTCTGAAATACTCACTAAAAAAAAATTTTTTTTTTAATGTTTATTTATTTTTGAGACAGACAGAGACAGAATGCGAGTGTGTTGGGGAGAGAGAAAGGGAGGCACAGAATCCGAAGCAGGCTCCAGGCTCCGAGCTGTCAGCACAGAGCCTGACATGGGGCTTGAACTCACAAGCTGTGAGATCATCACCTGAGCTGAAGTCGGATGCTCAACTGACTGAGCCACCCAGGCGCCCCAGAAATACTCATTTTTTAATTCTTCCACACACAGCAACAAATGTGTATCTATTGCCAGGAAGATTTCAAGGGAAGTCAGTCCTTCTAAAGATTTCTTTCAGGTTAAGTGTTACATACAAAAAAAGCCATGTTACTCAGTGACTTCTATTTTTCTCCAACCCACAGTGGGAGAAACTGCAGAACACAGGATGAAGTGGCATCCAGTGATGTGGATCTATACCTTAAGAAAGGACCCAACTAATATAAAAGGTGGTCACCATCACCAAGTCTTAGATGAAAAGTCCTTCACGGTTCATTTGCATAAAAATTACACAACTATAAGACATTTCTCAAGTATGCCTATGAAAGGCTGCTTATACACGCCCAGTTATAAGACAAGACATGAAACTGTTTTCTCAAACTGGGAAATAAATGAAAAGAGCCCTTACTACCAGTAAAATATTTTAAACGGTTTTCCTGAGGAAGACAGTGTCAAGGTTTTTGGTTTGTTTTTGATGACTATTTAATGACATGGGGAAAAGTTCCTGATATCATGGTACATGAAAAAAGATAAAATCAAAGGCTAGTTATACAGTAGGATACCAATTTTGTAAAAACTGATGCCAAGATTCTAATATCACACAATCAATAATGATTTTTTTTTTAATTCTACCTTTCATTTATTCAAAACAGATCAGGGCAAACTCAAGTCTATTTCTATCACTGAGATAAACAACATAGGTTTCTACACTCCTCAGGAAATATGCATTTGGTCTGTGACACAAGCCTCTGTAGATGAAGGTCCTGTAAATGGCTCATGATGTCCTCAAAACAATGTTGACTTATGATCGGGAGTGCTGTATGTATACTTAGATGTAGTTCTAAAAAGAACAGAGGACATCTAGAAAATGTAAAAAGCCTACGAAATTTTTTTGATTTTAAGTAGGAACTGGGAAAAAGACAAAGAATGCAAATTACAAATCAGCTTTTATTTTTAAGCAAACATGCAAAAAGTAGCCAGGTTTATATGCTGGTATAACTACAGATATCCCCGGCTTTTCAAAAGTTCATGTTATGCCACTTGGCTTTTATGAAAAAAGGCGAAACGCGAAAATAGCTTTCACCATTTGTTGTGCAGTAAGTCATTATGGAGGCAGCACGCACCCTGAGCAGTGAGAGTGGCCCTGCCAGGCTTCTTCCCTGGGAACCACACTCAGCATCTCAGCATCAAGGTGCCAGAGCTGTGAACTGCGTCTGTGAACATCTGTGCTTTGTCTTGATTTATTCTGTGCATCCCTTAGCAAGATGTGACCTAAGGTATCAGAGAAGCCTATGAGAGGTTATTTTTTGGATCTAGGAATGCTACAAATGTTTTCCGTGTAAATAAATAGTAATCACTTCTTTGCTTTATGCCATTTTGGCTTAAGAAAGGTTTCATAGAAATGCTCTACTTTCAGATAGCTGGAGAAACCTGTATCTGCCATGTTTCACATTCTGTTTTTCCCTTTCCCAGGCCAAATCAAACTACTGAAACAATTACAACACACCAGAAGAACATTCCTATTGATTCCAATACTTTTAATTTCTAAGTTTTAATGGAACTGTAAAACTAGCAAAAATGCATAACTTTTGCTATAATTATGCTCTACAACTTAAATTGCAAAATGTTATTTTACCTTTGCAAATGTTATTTTACCTTTGTTATTCCCCTTTGTTAAAAATTACAAATGAACACTCCAAAGATATATCATAAAAAGTATCTCTTACCTGCTCCCGGGCACCAAAACCTCCAAATGCTACAATAACATTAACAGTTTCCCATGTATCCTTCTAGACATTTTCTTTTTCTTTCTTTTCTTTTTCTTCCTTCCTTCCTCCCTTCCTTTCTTCCTTCCTCTTTCTTTCTCCCTTCCTTCCTTTCTGTTTCTTTCTTTCCTTTCGTTCTTTCTTTCAAGTTTTTATTTATTTTTGAGAGAGACACACACACAGAGCAGTGAGCAGGGGAGGGGCAGAGAGAGGGAGAGAGAGAGAATCCCAAGCAGGGCCTGAGCAGTAAGCATACAGCTGGACACAGGGCCTAATCCCACAAAGCATGAGATCATAACCTGAGCCAAAATCAAGAGTCTGACGCTTAACTGGTGGAGCCACCCAGGCACCTCTCCTTCTAGACATTTTCTACTTCGTTTTATATATATACACATGCACAGTTATTTTTCTTGGATTATATTGTTCAGCAACTTGTATTTTTCTTTAAACTATGTATTTTGAAATTCAGCCACCTTATTCTCTTTAACCACACCTGTTGTATTTCATTGTATGGAAAGACCATAAATAATAATATTAATTCCCTTGACTCATTTTGACTAGATTGGTCTAAAACACTGTCCTTTTTAAAGGCAGGGAGGAAGGGTCATACCTTGCATTTCTGCTCCAGATACTAATTAGTTTCAGCAGAGGAGTGGGAGAATACTGACTCTCAGATCCAAGCCTTCCGATCTAGGACGCAAAATGAACAGAATACAAAATAAAATCACATACAGAATTGTGGACAAAAATAACTAAAAAGCAGAACAAGTACAGAAACCACACCCAAGGATAAAGAGCCAAGGGACAGAG